TATAAAACTGAACCCCAATTTAAAGGGAAAAATTTAGAATTCGTAACGTTTTAGTTTGACAATAAGCAGACATTGCAATACTCTATTTCCATAGAAATACAAACTCATGAAAACATGAGACGTTCAAGTAAAGTCCCCTCACTAACATGCAAAATCCTTTCCCTTTAAAAAGGGCAATAAATTTGGGAAAGTTTGTTTAGGAACGCGTAAATTTCTCGCCATGCAATCGTATCTAGTGTATTGTTATCGATGCTTACAGTTAGTTATCCTCCCAGGAAGGAAAATATATGTTCTTAAATGTGCGTTAAATGATAGCGAGTACAATAAGAGTGAAATACTGAGATAAACTGTTCAAGCACGTCCTATACATCGCCTTCCCACAATATCCACTAATGTAACCCAAACACAGGGGGGTCGAAAAGCGTAAACAGCAACTTTACATTCATCCTTAGGAGTCAGATGATTCAGGACTCATTTTAACCCCTGACACACATTGCTTGATGGCTATAATTATATCAGCGGAGAGCCGCGGATTAAAGAGAACGTTCTTCTCTCACCAAGATTCCCCTCATTTTTTGTTTCCACCCACTCATACCCTCACGCCCTCATTTTCATTTGCCCTGTTTTTAGCATTATCTGGAATTTTCATCAGCTATACTTTAAGCATATTTAATTTTTGTGATGATAAACAAACTTTTCTCCCTACGATTAGAGCTTAAATTGGGCCGAAGCCCACCGGATCTTGGCTTCGGTGCTTTTTAGTTTTTGTAACAAATCATAATTCTAGCCGGAACGCACCGGAGCCCTGAATAAGAAGGCTGCGGCACTTCTCTTATGTAATTGAATAACAATTTCAGTAGAAATTTTATCTCGAAAATTGTATTGTAACAATAAAATTATATTAAAAATCGCTTATTAAATTTCAATTTATCTTTTTACATTTTATTTAATTTTAATTATTTAATTACTTCAATCTTTAAGTATTTCAATAAATAATAATTAATTATCTAATAATTATCAATTAAATTATGATTAATTAATTATATAATAATTGTTTATTAAATAACAATTTATAAACATTAATTAAATAGCTATTAATTAATTTGATAATAATTAAATATTTAATTTAAAAATTATTAATGAGTTTAATAGTCATTTTATTAATTTGTTTACTCTTGTTCCTCTTTGTTGACGGTCTTCCATAGGGCTCCGGCACTTCTAATCTTAGAACTTAAGCCCTGTCAACAAGCGGTGATTGTCATTGAGATTACGACTTTATATTACTGAAATTTTGGAGCTGATCGAAGCTATAAACTGCTGAATCAGGCAAAAGTCAAATAAAAGAGATAAAAATGTTTTATCGCTATCCGACTGCCTTTTCAGAAGTGAAAACAGATAAATGTATCTTCTTGAAGATTAGGTCAGTTGATAAAGGTTATAAAAAGTAGTAACATGATAGACACATTAAAAAAAAGAGAAGTAAAGATACAAGGATTATTCTATTTTGGGAACTGCTGGAATAAGTACGTCAATAAAGATTAAAAGAGTGTTTACTAAAATGTAATGTACTTCTAAGACGAAAGCAATTAAAAATATTGAGACTTCAATGTTTCTTTTTACTTCCTTGTACGAGGTAAAAAGGAAGTATTGTAATCGCGAAAAGCTTCAGGCAGCATATTTCAACGAAAATATCCACTTTGACCGCTTTCGAATGCAATTTAACGATGTTTTTGCGTGATATCTGTACGTAAGGACCGAATAAAAGACTCTTTTCCTCCAAAAAAACTTAAAAAAACTGCTTTAAAATGAATTCTGAAGAGAATTTTTCGTGGCGTCTGTACGAACGTATGTACGTATGTGCGTACGAACGTACGTACGTACGTACTCAAAAACGAGTAGCCTCAGAACGTTGAAATTTTGTATATAGGACTGCTACAACATGTAGATGTATGTACAACATGTAGATGTAACCTCGTATTTTGGTTTCAATCGGCCGCGCCAAACGTATATAAATATATTTATAAATATATCCACTCCGTTACCCGGCTCAGTGATCTCAGTTTCTTTACTCTTATATGTTTGTAAATTGTACATTTTTTGCTTTAAAAATGATTGAATTATGTTGTTTTTATCTTCCGGTTAAGGGTTTTATGCCTTTAGTAAATCTGTATGCAATATTTTTAGAATTATCAACAATTTTAAAATTGTTTAAGTGCCGCTAAGCCTAATTTGATGGCGGCCATTGCTCTTGTTTACATTTGAAACAGCTGAGTAGCGGATTTGTTGCCAATCTAGAGAAACTTAGCTTCGCATCAACAAAGATAACGCCTTCATTTATTATTTAAATCATGCTTAATCCTTTCTGGAATTTTTTCGAAGAAATAAGCGTTTAAGATTTACTTCCTAATTTTTAATACAGATATTTTGAGTTTTTATGTATTTTTGCCTTGTCGCGAAGTGAAAACTGAATTAATTGAATGAGAAATACTCAATCGTCTGTGAAAAGCTGTTTCTTTTTTGTTTTGTTTGCTTAATTTCTTTTATACATAGTTCTAACTTTATTATAGTATTTGAATAGAACATGTGGCAACGATTAGATAATTCTTTAAATGATATAAATTTTGTACATTTTGAGTTATAATATGAACGAAATATAATACTGTTAAGTAAACCTAGCGCCAGAGTGTCGTTATGGTAAACAAAGTGAATTTTAAAGAATGCATTTATTCTATTGTGGTTTATGCGCTGTCGGCGAAGTAGGTTTAATTCAATCTAAAAAGTTTAAATGAAATGCAAGAAAAAATGCGTATAATTTAATATTCCGTACAAGGAAGTCATGTGGTGTACACATCAGATTTTTTGTTTATTGGAAGTGAAGTGGAAACGAAACGTCACTGTTAATTCAAGAGATTTCATTCAAACAGCACCATTCTTTCAAATTGTATTACATCTGTAAAGCGATTTCTCTATTTTAATTAATTTATTAGTTTATTATCATTCCAACTACAAAATCGTTAGAAGACTTTTTCAATAATATGTATCTCGTATCTGCCCCCCCCCACATATTATAAAATGTATACAATTATAATGTATTTCGAGTATTTTTGGCGCTAAATCTTAATTACTAATTACTTAATTAAACTACGACCGTAATTTTAAACTTAAAAATTACCAAGAATACGTAAATTTATTCATATTTGGCAACGTCGATACTCAGCATTGACAAAACAAGAATCTGTTGCACTTTTATTGCTGTTCTGTCCATCATCTCAGATATATTCGTGGTTTCGCGAGAAGTTCCGACTTGTCTCGAACCTTCTGGAGTACTTGCGTGAATGTCTGTATGTCATGTCTACATATCGCTGCGTGGCTAGATGACGCTGCATGCCGCAAGGGTTACCGTTTTCGGAGCCAAGATGCCGTCTCAAGCATGCGCAGATGTCACAAAATGTTTCTCTATAGGGAGAAGGAAGAAATTCGATAGCGCCAGTTTTAATTCCAGCCAGTCTCATACGAGTCTATCCTTCTGTCGCTATCTATTCTACCGTGAATGTTTATGTTATATGTTTTCGTCGTGTTAATTGCAATTCACCGTATTAAAAATTCACGGCGGCAGATTTATGCAAAATTATGGATAGATTTTTAAGCGGGCGTAAGCGTAAGAGAGCATTAGACGATAGTCAAGCATCAACAAGTACACAGACGAACGTGGTTCCGAAAATAAAATCAAGAAAATATTCTCAAGAATACTTAAATTTTGGATTTACCAGTACTAAAGTAAATGAAGAACAAAGACCATTATGTATCATTTGCTCAAAAAATATTGGCAGCAGACAGCATGAAACCTAATAAACTTCAAAGACATTTGGAAACACTTCATAGTGAGTACGTCAACAAACCTCAACAGAGAGAATTTTTCAAATTAAAATTAAAATCATATGAAAAGCAAAAAACATTTTTTAAAAAACTTTGTCTGAAAATGAAAAAGCATTAATTGCTTCTTACAAAGTTTCATATAAAATAGCCAGATGTAAAAAGCCTCACACCATTGGTGAAAAGCGTATTTTGCCAGCAGCAATTGAGATTGTAGAAACTATGTTTGGAGATAATTTTGCAAACCAATTGCAGTCCATACCTCTTTCAATGATACTGTTGATACTGTTGCCCGTCGAATTACTGATATAGCTGAAGATGTACAGTGTCAGCTTTTCTCGAAGTTGCGTGACAAATTATTTTCAATACATTTTGATGAGGCAACAGATAGTAATAAAGACGCTCATTTCATTGCCTATGTTCGATTTTGTGATGATATGTTAATAGTAGAAGAACTACTTTTCTGCAAACCAATAGAACTCAAAGTAACAGCATACGCATTATTCGCTATCTTAAATGATTTTATGAACGAAGCAAATATAGAATGGAAAAAATAGCGTCGGAATATGCACCGATGGTGCTCGTTCAATGTCAGGAAGATTCCAAAGTACACAAGCACTTGTAAAGCAAAAATCGCCAGAGCAACTGGACACATTGCATGATCCACAGGGAAGCTCTAGCTTCCAAAAAAAAAAAAAATGAATCCTGGTCTGAATATTAAGTTAACTACCGTTGTAACCGTAATAAATTATATAAAAATGAGACCTCTGAAATCAAGAATCTTTTCCGCACTTTGTAAAGACATGGGCGCAGCACATTCAGCGTTACTATTTTATTGTGAGGCAAGATGGTTATCACGTGGGAAATTTTTGCAACGTGTTTATGAATTAAGAGATGAAATCGCTATTTTCCTACAAGAGGAAAACAGACCGGAAGCCGAGAATTTTCGCGATGGTTTATTTGTGATGAAATTCAGCTACTTGGTCGACATATTCGAGAAATTAAATAACTTGAATCTTTAACTCCAAGGAGCAAATACACATATATTGGATACGAATGATAAAGTTAATGCTTTTTGTAGAAAATTGGAATTGTGGAGCAGAAATGTAAAGCAAAAAAACCTAACAATGTGTAAAAATGTGGATGATTGTATTAAAACTTACAAGGCCGAAGAACAACATGTAAAAGTGGTTTTTGTAACCATTGAAAATCATTTAGCCATACTGACAAAGAATTTTACAAATTATTTCCTTGCTGTCGACAAACTCATAGAAAGTTACGAGTGGGTTAGAGATCCATTTCAAAATACTCCCGAAGTGCTCTCAATTGCCGAGGAAGAAACCTTCATAGACTTCACGACGAGTGGAGAAACCAAAAGACAATTTAGTAATAAATCACTCTTTGAATTTTGGGCAGGAGTGAGTGATGAGTTCTCTGCACTAAAAACAAGGGCATTTCGCATTTTATTACCATTTTCAACATCCTACCTTTGTGAAACTGGATTTCTGCTGGCGGTGGCTTCATTGAAGACAAAATATAGATCTCAGCTAAATATAGAAAAAGAACTGAGAGTGTCTATTTCTACCTTCCTTCGAAAAACTTTGCAAGACAGGCCCAAGGAAGTCACTAAGAATTATTAAATTTTTTTTAATTTAATAAGTTTCGATTTAGTATTTTTTTTTTAATTTAAGAATTATGCAAACATTTATGATACGAAGGCATGCTAAGAAGGCGGGAGAAATACCTTATAATGTTTACAAAACAAGTACTCGATTATGTACAGTTATAAGGTATGTCTCCTATTTTCCTAGGGTGCTTTCGTGGTGTAGTGGATCTGCACGCTGGGCCGGTATTCCAGAGGACCGTGGTTCCATTCCCGGCGAAGGCGGTTGCTAATTTTTTATCTCTCCGGCTTTTCCAATTAACCTAATGTCTCTACACAGTCTTGTGGCTATCGAATTATAACTCTAATACCAGACAATAATAGAATTAACAGGAATATGTTTGAAATGCTTTTCGGTGTTACATTAAAATCTTCATTTGAAAACCGAACAATGCATAATCTTCCTATATTTATATTGTTTGATACAGTCTGGAATTTTCCTAAAAGAATAAAAGATTTAAATTACCTTTTATTCTTAAGGAAAATTTCAGACAGATAACCTTGAGGTCAATTTCGACAAATGAGTGGCTGTAATTATCACGTATCTTTACAGCAGATTATAGAGTCGGAAAGAAAACAAAAATTAGTTAGTTTGCTTAAAATGCAGTCTTCTGAGAAAGGCTTATCAGGACTTGTGTTTCTTTTCATGTGTTTCGCAAACATAGTGAGTCCTGACTGGACTGGGAGGTTGACTGCAATCTATGTCTTTACGAAGTGTAGAACAGAAGACAAGATGAGAAGAGTTAAATTTTCCTTTATTAACTACTGAACACAGGTGCTCCCACGCTTTGAGATACAGAGACCAACTACTTGTGGTCTGAACGTAAAAATGGCCTTTAAAATGTGCGACGGATGTAGTACGATAACTGCCGAAACTACAATATGTTTAAATTACAAGAGGACTAAACCTCTGGCCCTAAAGGCAAACAGCAGTAAATTGAAACGCGCGTGCAACAAGGTGGTGGCCATGGACCTTATAATAGACTAAAGTGCGTCACACCATTCGGAAGAGAGATAGGGACGGTTTATCGTAAGATTGAAACATAGTTTGTATCACATAACTTTTTAAATTATTAATGTGATACGTTGTAAAATGATGAGATAATAAAAATCACAGTTTTTGCTAATAAGATTTTACATATCTCATGAAACCACTTTTTAGTGCATTTTGAGTATTTTTTTTACTGCATTTTGAGCATAAGCGTAATTCTTGTCTAAATATCATTACTTTGATAAAACGGTAAAAACTCTAAACAAAAAATTTATGAATTTACTTTTGCCTACAAATAAAGTAAAATTAAGTAAGATTGATAGTACATGATGCTGTGAAACAATAAGGTAAAATTAAACACGATTTGGTAATTTTTTTTCAATTTTATGAACATTTTCAGGCAGTAGTAGCAAATGTTTATCATTTCAAATGTTTATAGAAACCAAGGATTGTTTTATTTATTTTTTCTGTTTTCAAAATTATTATGGTATTAAAAGATGATCATTTATGATGATCATGACAATATTAATAACTCATAAAATTCGGAGCATAAACTTTTCTGAGTGTAATGAAAAATTTTTTAAAAAATTCGCAGTAAATAAAAAAAATCTTATGCGGAAAAATAGAAAAATTAAAAAAAATAATTACTTAAAATACAAGATATTATATGTCCAATCTTAAATTTTATTAATGGCTAAAGTAACCTTGTAATTTTATATACCTGTAAATACTTAAGCAGAATTAATCCATAAATTACATATGTATGAAAGTAAACAATTTAGGATATTGGTTGCATTGAAAAATTCGCTTACAACTTTTATTTCAAATATTTGTGCAAACAAGATTATATCTATTTATTAAATGTAAAAACACACTATATATATATATATTTAAGAGAGAGAGGAAGAGAAACAGATAATATGTTTACGAGCTTAAATAAAATTAATTATAAATCTGCTTCGAATTTTCTCTGTTTAGATTCATTTAACATGCAACTGCATGATGCATTCTGATTTTTAAATATTGAAAATACTGCTTAATTAATTTATCAGTGTTTTATATGCTCATTATTAAATATGTCTTCAAAGAAGGAAATATATGTGTTCCTACTTTTTAAGACTTTTAGAGTCATGAATTTATAATATTTTTTTTATTCATTTAAATTTCAGTCTGGCTAAAAATTATTTCTGCATTTTTGCAGAATTCGGACGTACTGGAAGGAGAAGTCAAACCTTTACCTCAGAATTATAATATTTGAAACTGCAAACCAAATGGTTCTGTGAAACTAAAGCTGAGAAACAGAATATATTACATTTTACTTTATAAAGCTAAGCTTTAACAAAAAAAAGCTATATAAGATGTATACTTTTCGTTCTTAAATATTCTTATTTTTGATAGTTATAATGCTAGATAAAATTTACCTATAATTTAAAAAAAGTAGCAAAAAATTATAAATTTTAAAGAAAAAAACTTTCAAAAATTCATTTTTAGGCATTTTAGTATTTAGCTATAGTTTAGATTAGTTATATTTTAGTAATTGTAAGAGAAATTACTTGGTTGAATTTTTCTGTTAGTTCAGATTTAAAATATTATTTTCTAAAAGAAGAAGTTACAAATTGCTTACATCATAGGAAAAGCTAAAAAATATACAAGCCTGAAAGCATGCAACAGCTTTATAATTATTTTGAACGTTTAATTATGCTTGAAAAACATGCTAAGTATTTAAAAAGCAATCTCAGTGCGAACTTGGGTTCGGGCCGGCTATATCGTTGGCAAAAAGCCACAACTTAAATACTTGGGCGTTAGCAAGTACAATTTGCATAACCAAATTAACGCGTTTAATTCTGGCCGGAAGTGGAAAATAAGAAAGGACAGTAAAGTTTTTAAAATAAAATAAACGTTAGTGAACTTAAGAACCTTACAGGCTCACTTATTTTATAACCTTTTCCTTGTAATGATATTGAAGACTTTAATCATGATCATCTTATTGATGATGAATTTATTGATGTTTTGCATCAATCATATGATGTTAATATTACAGAAAAAGATATAGTGTGTCTAATTTACATTTATGGATATGTTTGTAGATCTGTATTGAAGCATTGAAATTGTAATCTCTGCAGGAAAAAACTAATTCTTGACATTCATAAATACCTCTGCATTCAAAATATTTACAATCCTAATATCTAAAATGTACGAGAAGTTATATATTTCATCAAACAATCAACTTTTTCTGTATTAATGTTTCTCATCACGGAGAAAGCATTATTTGGGATGAGTAAAAGTATTTGTGTGTGTGGCAAATCACTGCATGATTTGTTGAAAAGCTGTGCTACATGTATTTGCAATATATTGCTGAATAATTACTGTAAGAGCTAAAAATAACAATTTAAAGGAAACCAATGACGAAAAAAGAAAAATATGTAAATTAAATAATTCTGGATTTAGATGTAATAAATTCCAGAATATTAAATTTTAAAGTTATATAGTAAGTATCTGCAAACTGTACATAGTTGAGCTATAGCTATAGAAACATACTGCGGCCCGCCCGTGGCTGAGTGGTAAAATTGCTGAACACTGGTAGTTCGGTACCGATTTCAATCCCGGCGAACGGGCTGGCTGTATGGGTGTTTTCGTTGTTTTTCCCCATATGTAACTTGTGTACGAGCCAATTTCCCTTAGAAAGTCCTCCACGAAGGCATTCCTCCACTGTGCATGTTTGCAATGTTGTGGGCATTTTTACTCTTCTCTATCATCAAATAAATGTAGAGTGTATTTTTGATCAGATGTACTTTCTTTCATAAGAAGTTTTAGAGCATGATATAATGCTCATTGGGATTGATTGCATAGTTATGATCTTGCTTTGTTTTTAGAGAATTTGTAATATATTTTTGGATATGCTATAAGATTTACTGTATAACGTTTTTGCTTATAAAGCATCTTTAGGATCAATCTTTTTTTTTTTTTTTTTTTCAATATGTAGATTCAACTTAAGATCTAGTAACTAGGATAACATATTAATACGATTTAGGTATTTCACTTAATGTCCACTTGTGTATTTATTATTAAAAAGCATCTTAGGATCTCGGATTGAATATTGAAAAATCTTTAAGGGAATAAAGAAAAGAAATAGCCCCTTTTTCTTTAATATCATTGCACAGAAAAACATAATTATAAAGCAATATTTTATTATATTAGAATTAACGTGTTTATATTAATTTTGTTACGAAATACTATATACGTTTTTTAATATTTAAGCAGTATAAATCAGTCTGCTTAATTTAAGCAATATAGATTAATCGGAGAGCCTAAGATACATTTTCTTCTTTTTATTACGAAATGAAAATCATCTTGTGTTGAGCTCATTATACATGTTATATTTTCATTGATATTAACATACTGTATAATTTTTATAAATATTTTTCTGTGCATATGTTTCCGTTTAATTTTTCAAATTTTATTTCCGTATAAAAGTTCAGATACGTTTCAGTTTATTTAAATCTGCTTCGCTAAATTTATAATATCGCTCAAATCTTATTTTATCTTCTGTTTGATAAATCGGTAGAAAAGTATTTAAATATTACGATATAATATAGCAAGTTATTAATCCTAAAATTCAAAATATTAAGTTGTAAAAATTAATTTCACTTGACTTTTGTGTTTGAAATAAAAAGTGACATAAATATGTGTCGATCGCCTTCGCTTGTGGCGTCACAAATCGATGGAGCAGGCCTGTAGATATCTAGTTGTCCTTGGGTGTAGCCCCAGAAGCCAACTTAATATTAAAAATCTAATAAAGATTTTCAACGTTTTATGAAAATAACTGAATATAAAACTTCAGTTCTTTACTTCGGGCATCTCAGCCGACGTGCCTAGGGTAAGCTCCTCAAGCGGCTTTTTATATGCCTTTTGTCTTTCTGTACAAAAGCGTGCGCGAACACACCAAGATGCTTAATTGGGGAGTCTAGTCATTAAATAAATTGTAT